GTCAGCTCGAACCAGTCTGGCCATTCACCTCTGACCTCCCTCATTAACAAGACTTGCAGAACTGCTGCTTGTTGGATGTTTTTTTTTTTGCTTGTATTGACACCATTCTGTGAGCTGATTGTGCATGAAAATCTCACGTGATCAGCAAGTACAGTGAGGGGAAAGAAGTATTTGATCCCTGCTGATTTTGTACGTTTGCCCACTGACGAAGAAATGATCAGTCTATAATTTTAATGGTAGATTTATTTGAACAGTGAGAGACAGAATAACACATAAAAATTTAGAAAAACACATGTCAAAAATGTTATAAATTGATTTGCATTTTAATGAGGGAAATAAGTATTTGACCCCTCTGCAAAACATGACTTAATACTTGGTAATGACTTAGTAATTACTTTTAATTCTCAATGCCCTGGCTGAGGGAAGGAGGTTCTCACCCAAGATTTGATGGTACATGGCCCCGTTCATCGTCCCTTTGATGTGGTGAAGTTGTCCTGTCCCCTTAGCAGATAAACACCCCCAAAGCATATTGTTTCCACCTCCATGTTTGACGGTGGGGATGGTGTTCTTGGGGTCATAGGCAGCATTCTTCCTCCTCCAAACGCGGCGAGTTGAGTTGATGCCAAAGAGCTCCATTTTGGAGGAGGAAGGAGGAAGAAAGCACCTGTGACCCCAAGAACACCATCCCCACCGTCAAGCCAAGTGGAGGGTAAGGAAACAATATGTCTTTATCTGCTAAGGGGACGGGAGAACTTTCCGCACATCAAAGGGACGATGAACGGGCGCAGTATCGTCAAATCTTGGGTGAGAACCTTTTCCCTCAGTCAGAGGCATTAAAAGTAAAAGTAATTACTAAGTCATTACCTAAGTATAATGTTTTTGCAGAAGGGTCAAATACATATTTCCCTCATTAAAATGCAAATCAATTTATAACATTTTTAACATGCGTTTTTCTGGATTTTTTTGTTGTTATTCTGTCGCTCACTGTTCAAATAAATCTACCATTAAAATTATAGACTGATCATTTCTTTGTTAGTGGGCAAACTTACAAAATCTGCAGGGGATCAAATACTTTTTTCCCCTCACTGTATCTGAAATACTCAAACCAATCTGTCTGGCACCAACAACCATGCCATGATTCCATCGTTGTCCAAGGGTGAGGTCATTATTTTCCCCATTCTGATGTTTCACGTGAACATTAACTGAAGCTCTTGGCCTGTCTCTGCATGATTTTATACACTGCACTGCTGCCACATGATTGGCTGATTAGATCATTACATTAATGTTTTCCTAATAAAGTGGTTAGTGAGTGCATTCTATTGAGACTATGATAAACATCATAGGATGCTAAATATCCACTGCAAACCTTACCATGACAAAGCATTTACTGAAGAAGAAAAAGGAAGAATAAAAGAAAGTCAAATATGAGGTCAGTTAAAGATGTTTTTGGCTTTGTGCTTAGATCTCAATCTTCTTTTTGACAGGGTGATCCTGGTCCAGAGGGAGACCCAGGGCTTACAGTAAGTACAGTCTTAGAATCTTTATTTTCCAGGATTTATCTTTTGATCGGTTTAGTTTAGTGATTTGATTATTTTACATCTCCTCAGGAATGTGATGTCATGAACTATATCAGAGAGACCTGTGGGTGTTGTGGTAAGTGACTTTTCCTGTGTCAGTCTAATTGAAATAAAGTCCATAGAAACTATTTTGACTTTCGACTACTTTACTTACTCTTTCCCGCACTCTTCTCTTGGCTGTTTCAGATTGTGAGAAGAGATGTGGAGCACTGGATATTGTATTTGTGATTGACAGCTCTGAGAGTGTGGGACTAACAAACTTCACCCTGGAGAAGAACTTTGTAATCAGCACCATCAACAGATTGGGTTCAATAGCTAAGGACCCCCACTCAGAGACAGGCAGGCGCAATTTACGACTACACCTAACCGCATAATCTAAAGAAGTATATGAAGGTTATATACTGACGGTGAATGAAGGTATTTGTAAGTGTGTGTGTTCTGTCATTAAGGCTGCCAAAGTTGTGCTGTCTTTTTTTTTGCAGGAACACGTGTTGGTGTGGTCCAGTACAGTCACAGCGGTACCTTCCAGGCCATCCAGCTAAACGACTCCAAGATCGATTCCCTTACAGCTTTCAAAGATGCTGTGAAGAATCTGGAGTGGATCGCTGGTGGCACATGGACTCCATCTGCCCTGAAATTTGCCTATGACAACCTGATTCGTGACAGTCAACGCTCCAAGGCTAAAGTGACTGTGGTGGTGATTACAGATGGTCGCTTTGATCCCCGGGATCAAGACTCACTGCTAAGTTACCTCTGCACGGATGACAGAATTGATGTAAATGCCATCGGTGTTGGAGACATGTTTGAAAAGGAAGAGGAATCCGAGAGTTTGAAGTCTATTGCCTGTGACAAGCAAGACAGGGTGATGGGCATGAAGCGGTTTGCTGACCTGGTGGCCGAAGAATTCATTGACAGGATTGAGACCGTTCTCTGTCCAAGTAAGTTGTCAATCTGCATACATGCACCCTCATCTCCATTAAATGTGGATATACAGTACATAACATACTTTTAATTGTTTCAGACCCGATGATTGTCTGCCCTGACCTTCCATGCAAATCTGGTAAGATTCTTAGAATTTTTACAGGGTCCCTGGAAATACTCTGCTGTCTGTCATTTCTAAAAGTATGAAATTCATGAAGATTAATTTAAATTCAGTTTGTCAAGGGCTTGGGTGTAATTATTGAGTGGTAATGCGACCCCCTCCATCTAAAGGGGGAAATAATTTAGAAATGATATAAGAGGAAATAATACTGTTATAAGGAGAAAAAATAAACTAATAAAGACTAATGAGAACATGCTTCAAGACACTCAATATCCTGTGATCAGTGTAAATATCAATGTAAATCTCGAATATTTAAAATATTTCTGAGGCTCAAAATAATAAATCAGTTGCGCAAATAGCCACTATACCAGTATTAATACCCATAACATTAATTAATGGCTTTGCAATAAACATAAAATTCTTTATTAAATTTTCACCTTTGATAAAAGTTTAAATAATTTAACCAGTCAGTCCAAGCATAGTTTGCACTGTGCTCTGTGAGCGGAGCCAGTCGCTTGGAGACTCCTAAAACTATTGTCTCGCTGCTCACTTGCAGATGTGTCATCTCAGTGGAATGGGTACCCCATACATGGATTCTTTGCAGAGGAAGGGACAAACAGCGTTGTCCCAACTACTGTCCCAAACGTCTCAAACTTACTCAACTCTCTGCAGGAGGTCAAGACCCCCGATGCCTACACCAGGGCTGTAGCCACAATGGCCTACACAGCCCAGAGGGCCAAGTTTGCCACCGGGCCAGAGAAACAGCAGTGGACTAATTTGTTCATTGACTCTTTCAGATTTGTCTATGGCGATATCCTGGGTGACCCTAACAAAGCCTTGGGGTTGTGTTAGGCAATGCCAGCTCATTATTTGGCCAAACTGGGCTGTCAGAAAGTGGCTATGGCTTTATATTTGTGGTGGTGAAAGCTGGTTGCTCTTGGCCTCGCTGTAGGATTATGTGAAAAGAAAATGAAATTGTAATGATCGAAAACATCTCAAGCTTGCTGAACTAACAATAAGTTGAGACCGCTGTATTCAGGGCTAAAATTTGAATACTAATGCACAATGGCCAGTTAGGCGATCAGTAGTAAGCATGATAATGACCTAACCATTACTCTTTTTTTTTTTTTTTAACTTAGTAGAAACTTTATCATTTTTAAGATGGAAGCCTCTTTCACCTGACCTCAGTGCCTGCTGCTTTTTGAAATACTTTTACAGTAAAATTTTATATACTTGAACAAGGCTAAAAGATAAAAATGAAGGCATCCTGACTGACTGTAAGACCTTTTCATGCCTGCACAATGTAATGTTATTATTCTGGGCTAAGCTGCTTAAACCTTCAGGATATAGGAGGCATTCTGCTTCTGCAGAGGGATATATTTGGCAGTTTTGAATAATCAGCTGAGATATCACAGTGAAAACCAAATCTCACACTATGTGTAAATATTGCACTTTGAGTAAAACCACACCACGATTATCTGATAAAGTTTTGCACTTTGCACAATACCGATGGGCCTTAAAACCTCTAGGGCCTGTACATAGATATAGAATACATGTTTTGCTTTCATGACTGAATACATAACCCCACTGCCATATCCATCATTAAATTGCTGTAGAGTACATTGTAGGAATAACAAAAATGTAAAGCCCCTGTAGTAAAAAAAACAAAACAAAACTATATTTATATATATATATATATATATATATATATATATATATATATATATATATATATATATATATATATATATATATATATATATATATATATATATAATATATATATAATATTATTTGCATGACATGTAACGCATGAGCTGGACAATTTGCACCAGAAATAACCTAGCAGCTGTAAAAAAAAAAAAATATATATATATATATATATATATATATATATATATATATATATATATATATATATATATATATATATATATCTCCTGTGAGGTTAACAATTTAAAGAACATGGGGAATCATTTCTGTTTGTGACTATGGTTAAAGTTTGTTATGCCTGAAAGTTGATGCAAATAATGGACACCATTACTGTATGTAATGCATTAGAAATGTGCAATTAGAAAAAAAAAAAAAAAGCTCTAAGACTGCAAGAAAATATTAAATAAACTTATATTGCAAACAAATTAAGTTTTAATTTAAGTTATTTCACCAGTACTCTGAAGCGAAAGATCTAATGCAGTCTGTTAGCAGTATTGTTATGTTTATTTTGACCAAATGCCTGGTTTTCATGCTATTTTAGAGACGCATGTTTGTGCATATGCAAAAATGATGCAAGGGTATTAGCATGTTATTGTAGCTGGTTTGGATAAGTGCATCCTGAAAGACAATTTGTCATGGTGTGTAGTATTGTGGGAGGGAGGGGTTGGGTCATGGTGGTTTAGTGGTTAGCACGTTCATCTCACACCTCTGGGTTTGTGGGTTCAAATCCCACCTCTGCCCTGTTTGTGTGGAGTTTGCATGTTTTCCCTGTGCTTCAGGCATATCCTTCTGGTACTCCAGTTTCCTCCCCATGCTTGTATGAAGGACATATCCTCCCCTGGTGGAAATACATGCGTTGTAGGCTGATTGTCATTTCCAAATTGTCCATAGTATGTGATTGTGCCCCATGATGGGCTGGCACCGAGTCCAGGGTGTCCCACCTTGTCACTAGGATAGGCTCCAGGCTCCCCCCGCAACCCTGTGTAGGATAAGCGGTATGGAAAATTGATGGATGGTATGTAATCTTCTGTTGCACAGGATTGCATCACTTACTGTCTGCATTTTAACAGAATTCATGATATTATGTTGTTTTCCTTTATTCACCCATCAGAGTAATGAAAACTACAATACTCAGTGTGCAAAATGCCAGTACGTATTCAGCTACTGGGAATCCTTACTGATCAACTAATCCAGATCTCTGAGTGAGACACATCACTCTGCATTCTCCCTCTGACATGCTTTCCCTGAAATAAATAAGAGCGGTATAGTGATAAAATCCTGAAAGAAATATTTACACTTCACTAATCGGTGTTCATCAAACAACGTAACATCAAAAAAAGATGCTAAAGAAAAGGGCCATTCTTTCTGTCTTTAATACAAAATGGAAAGCAGAGAGGGAACAAAAGGAGCCAAACTGAACTAGGAGAACTAGTTAATGTCCGCTAGCAAATGCTTGTCTTGACCCATGTGACTACTAGTACCATGGCTAGTAAGGTCGTTAACACAAGGTAAATGTAACAGTGCTAGCTCACATCATGGTAGCTACTCGTGTTGTTGCTAACATCAGTTATTTGCCTCGGCGTCATTTTTGTAATGCTTGCCTACTGTTGCTTTTCTCACTGGTGCAGTTCTTCTTCAGTGAATTTTGGCTTGAATATGTATAACTGGATGTCAACCACTTTACAAAGCAAAGTGCTTGCTTATTAGCCGTAGCCAGCTAGATATCTCCTGAATATACCATTCCACCATTTCCCATTCTTATACAAATATCCAACATAACTATTGGAGTGTTTCAAATTTGGTAAACAACTTCTACAAAATATGTAATCAGGAGGGGTTTTCCCAGGCATTGAAACTATTAAATCTCACTACAGAGCCGGCCGTGTCAGCGCTGTTAAACGCAAGTCGGCATGTTTACAAGAGATGTATCAAAGGTTACATCTTTGATTTTGGCTGGATTGTCCCTGTAAGGCAGTAAAGACAGATATTTTTATGAGTTGTTAATCTATGATCAATATTTTTGTATTTCTCTCCCACAGAGCCAGCAGTGGCCAGTTGTGTTCAGCGCCCTGTTGATCTTGTGTTCTTGCTGGATGGTTCTGAACGCATGGGATCGGATAACTTTCAGAGCGTGCGTGAGTTTGTGGAGAACGTGGCTCACCGCCTGACCTTGGCTCAGAATGCCAAGGACAAAAATAACGCCCGTGTGGCTCTAATACAGTATGGCGGTGAAAACCGTCAGAATGTGGTCTTCAGACTTACACACAATTTCACCGTCATCTCTGATGGCCTTGCGAAAATGCAGTATATGGATGCATCTTCCAACGTGGGCAGTGCCATTATCTATGCCATTAACAACGTCATACAGAGTGGAAACACCCGCTTGGCTCGTAGCAACGCTGAAATCTCCTTTGTCTTTATCACTGACGGAATCACCGACAAGAAGAATCTAGAAGAAGGCATAAGCTCCATGCGCCGGGCAGAGGGTGTACCCACTGTGATCGCCCTGGGCAATGATGAAGCTGTTGACAAGGAAGTGCTGACCAAGCTCGCTCTGGGAGACCAGACAGCTATTTTCAGGGGAAAAGATTACTCTCAGCTGTCCAAAGCCAGCTTCTTTGAACGTTTCATTCGGTGGGTCTGCTGAGGGAGATGGGGTGTCTTAAGTTCACACTAATGTAAGGGGGGAATTGGTGTGCTATTGGAGTTAGCTTGGTCATTAGGGTCATTGTCTGAATTTGCAGTATGTATCTTTCATGTATGGTCTTAAATTAGATTTTTTAAAACCGACTGACACTACAGGTAAATAGAAAAAAAAAATCTGTGGGTTACACCCTCATTATCATGCTCACTCCATATTGTACCAATGGATTTGGGAGAAGGTACAACAAGACACTATACTCAAGTTAAATGACCAACACTTAAAAAAAATTACTGAGTGAATGTTTAAACTACAAGTTGCCAATGTAGATTTCTTTTGGTACATTTCTGTATTGTTTTTGTTTTTTTTATACACACTAAGGTGCTAACCTAGAGCAAGACTGGAGTTTTTCCTGTATATGACATTTCCATGTGATGGTACATATCAGCAGAAACCATTCAGGGTTTAATAAAGCCTGATTTTATCTCAGTGTCAATCCTAGTCAGGTTTAATGTCAGGCTTCATGATACAAATAAATTAATAAATAAGTCCCAAGTTTATCATCATGGTTTTACTTAATTAACACAAGGAACCAGTCACACAACAGCTTCTTCTATGAGTCACAGACTAAAAAAAATAAATAAATCAGTAATTAATCAGAGTGCACTTCTGCTTGGATACATGCTTAAGAGTTGGCAATGCGTTTCAAGTTAAACTTTCATATTAAATGATTATTGAAAGATATGTTCATGTACTTAGTTATAAACAACAGAATGAGCACAATTGATAAGTTCTTTTCTTTTACAGACACTCTAATTAGATGTAGTCACAAAATGTTCTAATTCCATGAAAATGAAATCAAATTCTGTAGGCACTCGAAGGATGAAATTCATTACTTTTTGTCAACTTCAGTGTTAGTACAATAAATCAGGTTGTGGTAAACTGAATTTATGTTGCCGTGTTTGTTTTTATTGTTATCAACATACACAATAGAAAATGATGCACGGTTCACCAAGTCATGTTTTTGAGAAACAGCATAAATTTGCTCTGTAGAACCAGATTAGGTCATTCAACGCAAAAAATTTGAGGAAACTAATTACCTCAAAGTTTTTAAGTTAATCAATTTCTTTAAGCCAAATACACTTAAATATAACAAAAATGTAACTGAAACTAAATGTATTTGGCTTAAAGAAATTGATTTATCAACTTAAAAATTGAGGTAATTAGTTTCCTCAATTGTTTTGAGTTGAATGAACTAATCCGGTTTTACAGTGTGGGGGGCACTTTATTCTGCATGATTGTTTGATTGTTAAGATCACGCACAATCACACGCACAAAGAACACAATTTATAGTCTTAGCTTACAGCATATTGAATTTAATGCTGAATTTAACACTGCCAAGCTGCTCCTGTTGTTTTTTATATTTCATGAGTTTGTCTCTTAGTCTAGAAACTGCTACTTACTTACTACCATACTAAACTATATACAGTATGTACACATGGTATGTTACCACATGGTATGAAAGCATCAAAAGTTGTCAAGCACCCATAACCAACAAATAAAATATTCTGTTTCACAGTAATGTTGTTTAACATAGCTTTGTTCTTTAGAAAATGCAACAATTTGTGACTATTTTCCAACATCGTTTGACTTTTATTGTGAACATAATGGATCCTGCAACTAATTCCAGTGGAATCAATGTCCATGTGATCGAATGAAATTCAGGCACCTTTAATTCAACATAGTTAACTTAGCCTTAACGCGAGCTTAAAGATAACATTAGACTGTCAAAATAACTCACTTGGTGTTAAACTTGATGTTAAGTCAGTTGGTGTAATGGATTTTCTACCAAAATACTAAATCACATCAAAAATGTTAATTGTTTCTTTACACTCAGGTCAATAAAGCAGAGAATGTTAATACTAAAAGAAAACGGTGATGAAAGCAAGCATACACAAAGCAATATAGAAGAGACAGAACAATGGCAGCAAGGTGCGTTGATACAAGAATAGTGTACCAGTGTTTGAGGATCACAGAGAGGAGAAGCCAAGCCAACAGCAGAGACAGACAGACTGGTGAAAATAAATCGATTCAGTATGTAAACCAGGGATTTGCAAGAAACTCTAATAATTACACAATAATGACACTAAAATCGATCAGACATTAAATTGTTTTCTAGAAAGCAATATTAAATAAAATCGGAGAAAATAAAAAGAAACGGGCAGCAGTTTATAAACGTTTAGGAGTGATAAAGCCACAGAGCATTGTGAAAGTAGCGAGTTAACTACCCTTGACAAATAAAAGGGAATAAAAAAACAAAAAGAAAACAGTGCTTACATCATTACTAGCAAAACCTAGAGAGGAAAAATACACAGCATGATATGACAAGGCTACAGCAGAGAGACGTAGATACACGCAGCACATCAGTGACAATTGTGTAAGGCAGGGGTTCCCAGACTTTTCCAGGGCAAGACCCCCACATGGCATTAACATTTGACCGACACCCCCTTTTGCAATATGTCTTTAAAACACGTTAAAAATACAGAATTCTGAATATATCCCCCTTTTTTTAATTAATAATATCATCTTACATCGTGTGTGTGGTTGTCTGAGAGTGAGAATTTATTTTTCACACCAAATTGTTGAGGCCCCCGGGTCACTCGTGTAATGAACGCAAACAAGGTGGACTCTTTCTTCTTTTTTTTTTTTTGTCTAAAAAAACTCAACCCCGAAAAATCTCAATAATTCAATTATTTACAGTCCTTATCCATTTCCTGGTTACCACTGTCGTTTATTTGTTGTTGTTGTTGTTGTTTTTATTTTTGTTTTTTAGAGCGAGAGAGAATCTAAATTAATTGTTTTTAATTAGCCATTATTTATTATTTTCAGTCTGCAGCAGAAACAAAAAATAGGGATTGATTTCTAGTTACGCCCCGCCCTCCCTCCCTCCCTCCCTCGCGTACATGTTACTGCCCCCCCTCCCTCTCCCTCCCTCCCTCCTCCCTCCTCCCTCTCTTCCTCCCTCGCGTCATGGCCCCTCCCCTCCCTCCCTCCTCCCTCCCTCCCTCCCTCCCTCCTCCTTACTCTCTCTCCTCTTCCT